CGGTTGATCGAGTTTATTGATCGAGCCGCCCTCCTCACAAGAAGGGGCTCTGGGCGGCGAACGACAATCTATTTCCCTCAGAGCCCCCCTTTCGGGTCAGGCAGATGCCACCCTGGAGCCCCGCGAGCGCACCTGCGTGTCCGCTCACCCGACCTTTGCGCCGCTGTCCTGATTTCGTGCGTTCACGAGAGATTCTGAACTCAAGACCGGGCCGGCGCGACACGTTTGGCTAACGCGCGGCGGGCCGGTTTGCGATTCGGCGGCCGGTGCCAACGCCTCCTGTAAGCAGCAAGGAAGATTACTGTGCATTAGCCCGTTCCCGCTGGTGCGTGAGCGGGCTTCTGGTCGATTAATGCTTCATTGCCCCTTTCTTGCAGCCCTGGGCCTGGTTCCTTGGCGGGAAGCTGAGGGGAAGCTGAGAGGACAGAGCGTATCTGATGCTGCCGTGTGAGCACGAGGCTGCGCAATATGGAGGATCGGAGACTTAACTGTGGGATTTAAATTCCATCCAGGTTTGCCTGCAAGACTAGAACAGGCTAAGTTAAAATACGATTAGTTTGTTTAACCCAGTCCAGGCCACCGGGCTAACTGAGTATATTCCCCCAACACAAGAGGCTGCCTCTTGCGTTAACCTTGCGTACAGCGGCGAACTGTCCATGTTATACGTCTACACTTAAGGCTGCGATAGGTGCTCGTCGATTTTACTGTCATTTTTCTACTGGCACTCTTCCAGCAATCCAGATCATAGCGTTTATTGGCTAAGTCTCACCGGGCCGCCCACCTGAGCAAAACCAAAACTCCTACGACTGACAGAGCCAAAATTCTTAATACCTTCTTTGTTTCGCTCCCCCAGCAATGCGCAACTTTAGAAGGGTGGCAAAGGCCAGGAGCTCTCCGTCCCTGTTGCCTGGGCTGCCGCCCCGCAGCGCATCCTGACCGCGTGCTTCATTTTCAGCTACCTCTTTGTAACTTTGCTGCCATCATTTTCACTGCGCTGGGCACCCTTGCAGGGGAATCGGCCCAAGAAGCCCTGCGCCATTAGCGGTTAACTTGGCAGCGTTCCCTTGCAAGAGTCTGAAAGGAAGCAATAGGGCCGCTTTCCCTGTCAATTGGATGCAAGATTCTAAGCCGGCAGTCCTACGCCGCTTGCCTGGGGTATACCACACTGCATTCAGCGGGTTTCCCTTCTGAGTAATCACGTGTAAAAGGGCACTGTCCACCATTTTTCACACATCACTATCAGCTGTTTTCCAAAATCGGTCTCGGCATACGTACAGCTTTTCTTTCAGCACTTAAAAACCAAAAGACAAATCTTGGCGTAGGGAAGAAAAGGCTTTCCTAGAGAAAAGCGAGGGGCCTAAATACTGGCTCTACGTTCTTTTATTCCTAAATAATCATTTTAGTCAGAGCTTGCTCAGACCTTCCGGCATCCCAGAGGTCGGTGTCCAACGGCAGAACAGGATAAGGAGCTGCGTATGGATCCTTCGATGTCACCGGAGCACAACAGGGGTTACCGCTGTGGGGAGGGAGAGGCCTCGCGTTCTTCCTCCCCGTGGCACGAGCTTGAAATCCTTGGGCTTAGGAAGCGGGTCGGCCGCTGCGGCCGGCCGGCCGGCCAGCCGGGCTAG